GATCCATTACAAATACAACTTTATTAAGTGATCGTTCTGTAGAAAACCTAGTTTAATCTTTAACATTGAACCCTTCCTCCCTCCAAAAAAGTAACGTAAATGGAGCTTTTCAAAGAGAGGAATCATTCCGCAGTTCCACGGAGAAAAGTCACAGGATTCTGAGCTTGACGACAATATGTGAACACAAGTGGCACCTGTCTGCCTTTAGTTGTGTGTGAAAATTAAGTTGCCAAAAGCCTGAAGGTGCCAGGGTCTCAGATCTTCTGGATAGCTGTTCCGATGGATCCCTGGGAAAGACATCACTTCCTGTTGGATCTCAGCACTTAATATAGATAAGAGACAATCTAAAGGATGGTTCAGGTCAAGGATGCTGTGCCATAAGAAAGACCAAAGCCTCAAAAATTAAGCTCCTTATTGGATTTAAAGATGAGGCAAACCATCCCCCTTTTTGAAATGTTTGTATTCTGAGTAATACCAACAGGTGTCAGTGTTCCATCCTTCCCCCATCACAGTACAGAACACAAATTATGTACTGCTGGATGGAAGGATGAGAAGGCAGTTCTTGATAGGCATGGAGGCTTTTACTAAGCAAAATCATTCACCAATAACATCTGATTCCATTCTCATAATATCTTCAACCGATGGGAAAGGGCTATGCCTCTGCCCCATTTGGGATGATTGCATTCAGTTCTTCTTGTGTGACTTTTCTTCTTCTTTCATGTTCAGTTAAATAAGAGCTTATTCTAGTGACCTGGTAGAGCACAACCTTGGGAACTTACTCACAGTCAGGTCTGCTGGGAAGCAAAGGAGCCACCAAAAGTTGGTATGAAGTACTGGGCCAGTGGTTCCAGTATTCCTTGATACTTGCTCATGTTTTCAAATGTGGTTTCTATCTCTTCCACCTTGATTCACCAGCATCATTAACATTTTTAAAAAAGGAATTACTTGATCTTGAGTGCTTAGGCAGCTAGACATGGTCGCATTGAATTTCTGCTGGCTACAACAATCATCATAATTGGGTTCCAGGAAGCCAATTGCTGAGCCTCCTGCTCTTACATTAATTTGGACCTTGAGGAGTCTGTGGGAGCCATCCCCTTCCTTTTATTTTAAGGGTGAGTAGTTTCTCTATAGTATCTATATACCTTGACCATGATGAACTACTTCCACACAGATTCAGAAGGAAGGGGCCAATTGATTATGGACTAAAACTTCCAAAGCTGTGAGCCCAAACAAGTCTTGTCTCTTTATAAACCATCTCAGATATTTCACAATTGTGATGGAGAGCTGACCTACACACCCTCTCACAACCTATTTCCCAGATGGGCTGTATGAGAAACTTCATCACCAATCCATCCCCATTTTATAGCTCAGGGTGTTCCATATACAGCCTATTGAAGTCTCTTCACTTCTGCAGATGGAACATGGTACAGGTAAGGACACTGACACTCCCACAGGGTAAACTATGTGTTCAAGATCACTTAGCCTGGATACCTGTCAAGTCTATCTGCCTTATCTTGATTTCCCAGGTCTACTAGAGCACATGGTCAGTCCTCTCAGCAATGGGGAGGAATGTGCCATAATCTAAGTCCCAGTGTCAAAGGCAGGACCTCAGTGCTTTGATTCATACTAAAACCACATTCGTCTTCTCATCCTGGAAGTTTGAGAGAGGACTGAATCTAAAATAGAAAACCAATTTCAGAGGGAATTCTCCTATGTAACTTTAGCAAGAAATCCAGGCTACTTTGCCTCAGGGATGACAGTATTAGGAAACATCTTATGGGTTTATTGGTGGAAAGAGTATGCTGAGTGCTTGGAAAGTTTTTCAAAGCTTGTTAGGAAACAGAGTTAGCATATGAAAGAAGAGAAAGTAAGAAGGGGTTTTGTTTGCCCTGGAGCTGGAGTGGTGGGAACAGGGAAACAGTTCCTGCTGGCTTAGGATGGAAAGACCACTATACTTCCTGCCCTTTCTCCAGGGCTCAGTCAACTACAAAGAGAAGTTTCCCCTGATGGTTCCATCTGGAACCCGTTTTGTGACATATGTGTGAGGCTCTGACTTGTACGACCCTGGTTTTCAGGATCTCCATAGTTAAGAGCCTTATCACCATGTGTGGCCTGGCTACCAGCACTTTTTCTGAGTTCCAAGATATAGTTTTTGGAATTAACCAGTGTAGGACCTTCTTGTGCAGTTCAAGAAACTGAAATCAGTGGTTGTAAAGTTAAAATGTACACTGGTGATAAAAACTCTGGGCTCTGTCAAGTTAAATTCAAGTTGATGTGGAGCTCAGAGGCCTTGCATGATTCAATTTAATGTGAATGAGAATTAATATGTGTTAGTCACACCTCTTTAGTACACACACACACACACACACACACACATATCTTGGGTAGAGGGGAGTAGGTGAGGCATGTGAAGGTTTCCCGGTTAGCCCATACCCAGGGAACACAGTGGGACGTGTAGGTTGTGAATAGTTCTGGAATAATCTTATTTGGACTGATCTGAGGCTTCCTGAAATTGGAAAACTCAAGAGGCTCGTGCTGGGTAACATGAGTCTATTTTAGGCCAGATGCTCTCCCATGCTTCTGGGAAGAGAAGACAAATGTGAATTTGGAGACTTCTGTGTTCGTTTAGGGGACAGCATCCTGCCTGTATTTTGGAAGGGTTCAGTGGAGTCCCTTGAAGTCAGCAAGTACTGGCTACTTTAGGGCCCAGGGGACTGTATGAGTGAGGAGGCTTACAGAACTTGTTCGTTGGCCTGGTTACATCCTGTGCTCCTCAAACCTACCCTTCTTTAAAGAGGAAACTGAGGCAGAGAAGAATGCAGTTTGCCTGGGAAGCCCATTCTTACCGTATACTGTGACCACTGAGAATACTCTGAATCATACACTCATGTCCAGAACATGTTCCTGGGTCATCTTCATGGAGCCTTTGGAAAGATCCATCTCCAGGAAGGGAACTGCAGTTAGAAGCAGTGATCTAAGCCAGGTTTGGTGACCAAGGCTCATAATCTAAGCACTGGAGATGCTAAGGTAGGAAGATCATCAAGAGTTCAAGGCCACCAAAGGCTGTGTAAGTTCAGATACTGTCTCAAAAATAGCTCTAATAATAACAATAAGAAGAAATGATTATCCAGGTAATTTACCACAATCATTCCTTCACTCAGGTTCTTGAACAAAACTGATGATTTTCCCAGCTGGAGAGATGGCTCAGATGTTAGGAGTACATATTGCCCTTCCAGAACAACTCCTTTAGTTCCCAGCACCCAAGTTGGTAGATGTACAACCACCTGTAACTCCAACTCAAGGGATTCCAACATCATCTTCTGGACTTTCTCTCATAAGTGCACCTGCCATACACACACACACACACACACACACACACACACACAAACACACATGCATACAAAGAATTAAAAACAAAAAAATTTAAAATTAAGAAACAAAACCAAAAATAAAAAATAACGATTTCTTCTGGACAAATCCATCAGATTTGATTGTCCTTTGCTTGGTTCTGGTTATGTAGACCAGGCCAGTGTCACTTGGCACCAGAACCTTTGCACAGTGTGAGACCTTTGCCTGGAGAGCCTGGTCCCCAGGCATTTCTAAGCTGGACATGGTTCCGCCAAAGTGCTCCAGGACGCCGGCCCAGGAAGGGTGCCTGGACAGGCGCTGTCCAAGCAGCCTAGCGACTGCTGCAGGCACCTCCCCCTCCCTCTAGGCGCCAGCACACTGCCGCACCGGGCTCGGCTCCCAGTCGCCTGCCACCGGCCCGCCAGGCACACGCCTGGGGCGGGATGGAGGTTGCGCCAAGGCCTCTGAGGCGCCTGTGGCAGGGCAGAACAAGGGAAGCCTTACCCTCCACACACCCCTAGGGTCCGGAGAATATCAGAGCACTCGCCTTTCTAGACTTGCTTTAGTCCATATGGAAATAATCTTTTGGGGGAGTGGTGGGGGAGTAGAGAACCAGAGGTGACCCTGGGAGTGTTTCTGCTATCTATCTATCTATCTATCTATCTATCTATCTATCTATCTATCTATCCATCCATCCATCCTGCTCCCTTACAGCACTGATCGGAATAATCACGCCTCACAGTCACAAGAACCCTCACCTTTTTTTTCAAAGCTAGGGTGGGGTGGGGGGTTCTTGCTATGTAGACAAAGCTAACCTCCAACTAATGATTCTTCTTCCTTAGTTTCCAGGGTATTGGCGGCCACTTGTTCCTGGGCCTTCTCCCCACACAGGTGGAGTTGTGGAGAGCACATCCTAGTTCTGGAAGCCGGAAAAGAGAGTAGAGGCCAGTTAATGCAACGTTCTTTTCTACCGAGGAGGAAAGGGCGGCTCAGGGAGACTAGAACTTACCAAGAGCCACAGAGCTAGTGAGGGTACAAGAGGAGAGCAGAACTCACGTCATCCCATCACAGCGATCAGTTCTTCCCCCACTGCTGCAAGGCTCTCCCCTCCCATCTTTCTAAACCTTCACTGTAAATCATTTCAGCCCTTAGGGTCAGCGAAGAACCCCTGACAACGACAGCGGAAAGAAGAAAAGGGGAAAACAGCCCCCACCTCCATGGGGTCCCACTTTTTCTGTCTAAATCCTTTTTTGCGTTTTCTCCCAAGTTCTCATGAGACTCCAAGAACAATTTACCCCCAAACTTTCGACGCATGCACCCCAATTTCCAGAGTCATTTACCCTTCCTGCGAAGCAACCACCCCCACCCCCTCTTTCCAGAGCCACCCCCCGGTGCCGGGAGCCACCGCCCCGAGCGCGCCGCCTGTTTATTCAGCCGGGAGTCCGGCACGCGCCGGGCGCACGCACTGCAACAACAAACCCGGCTGAATGGAGTTTGCAAGGAGCGGGCGCAGGGATCGGGAGGGGGGAGGGGAGGACAGAGGGGGAGTTGAGGGGGGAGGGTGAAAGGAGGAGGAGAGGAGGGGGAGCGGGAGCTGCAGCCGCCCGCTGCTGCAGCGGGGAGTGGGGGGCGAGGCGGGGCCAGGGCTGCGCGTGGGGCTGGGTGTCCCATTGAAAAGGCGGCCGCACTCCGGCCGCCCAGCACTCTCTCACTTCTGGCCAGGGAACGTGCAAGGCGCACCGGCAGGGAGCCGGTCAGGGAGGGCGACTGGGAAAAAAAGAGGAATAAGAAAGACAGGGGGTTAACCAAACCATCCATAAAACAGGCTCAGCCGAGGCTGAAGGAGTGGAGACCCCGCGCAGGACAGCGCAGGACCCGGAGTCTCGGTACCCAGCAGAGCGCGCTCAGCACTGACTTTGGCGGCTGCTTTTCCTTTCCATTTTTTTTTTTTTTAAATACCAAGAAGGCTCTAGCGGCGGCCTCACACGCGAGCGCCACGCGAGGCTCCCAAGCCGACCGCGGCGGGAGGAGGGGAGGAGGAGGAGGAGACGCAGAGGGCAGAGGAAAAGCGTTTGCACCTTCCTTCGCTCCCACTCTAAGAACTCTGCGTGCTTTTGCAATTTTCTTTTCTTCCACTTTCCTCCGGGGCTCCTTCCTCCTTTCCACCTTTCTCTTCCCCTTCTAATCTTACACCCAAGTCCCTGTGCCCCTCGCGCGCAGCGCACCTTGCGGTTCCCCTCTTGCTCCCTTTTGACTCCTGGGCCGCCTGTGCGCATGGAGAGCTCTGCCAAGATGGAGAGCAGCGGCCCGCAGCCACAGCCGCAGCCCCCGCAACCCTTCCTGCCGCCTGCAGCCTGCTTTTTCGTCTCGGCTGCGGCGGCTGCGGCAGCGCAGAGCGCGCAGCAGCAGCAGCAGCAGCAGCAGCAGCAGCAGCAGCAGCAGCAGCAGCAGGCGCCGCAGCTGAGCCCGCCGGCCGATGGCCAGCCTTCAGGGGGCGGTCACAAGTCAGTGCCCAAGCTAGTCAAGCGGCAGCGCTCCTCTTCTCCTGAACTGATGCGCTGCAAACGCCGGCTCAACTTCAGCGGTTTCGGCTACAGCCTGCCGCAGCAGCAGCCGGCCGCCGTGGCGCGTCGAAACGAGCGCGAGCGCAACCGCGTCAAGTTGGTCAACCTGGGCTTCGCCACCCTCCGGGAGCACGTCCCCAATGGCGCAGCCAACAAGAAGATGAGCAAGGTGGAGACGCTGCGCTCGGCGGTCGAGTACATCCGCGCACTGCAGCAGCTGCTGGACGAACACGACGCGGTGAGCGCCGCCTTCCAGGCCGGTGTCCTGTCGCCGACCATCTCTCCCAACTACTCCAACGACATGAACTCCATGGCTGGTTCCCCCGTCTCGTCTTACTCCTCCGACGAGGGCTCCTATGATCCTCTCAGTCCGGAGGAGCAGGAGCTGCTGGACTTCACCAACTGGTTCTGACCGCCTGTCAGGCCCAGGTGGGAATGGACTTTGGAAGCAGGTAGGTTTCGTTTGGGGGTGGGTAGGGGCTTTCTTGTCTCAGTCCCTTTTTCTCCTCTTGAGCATCTGTGGGAGGTAGTGGCTGTCTCCACGAGCAAGAAGGGGCTCTTTTTATTATTGCCGTTAAAGTTTGTGTATTTAAAATCCCAATTTGTCAGTTTCAGCACTGGCCTCTGGAAAGTGGCTTTGCCCAACTTTCCAAGGAGTCGGGGGTAGAGGTGAGGCTCTGGAACCTAGGGAACCTAGCCCTGGGACTTTTTCAAAGAGATGTTCTACCTGACGGAACCCCCTGCCCCCTGCAGCCTCCAACATCCTCTATCACTGCCCTCAAAGTTCACACTAACCTTTCCTGTCCTTTTGTTTGTTATAGGGTGACCGCACAGCCTGCATCTTTACTGTTTCTCATCAACGATGTTGGGAGGGAGGGGAAAAAAAACAAGAAAAAAAAAGAGAAGAATAAGAAGAAGAGGAGGAGGAGGAGGAGGAGGAGGAGGAGGAGAACAAAAACCAGACAGCCAGCCTCAAGGGGGTGGGGGATGACTGCCTGCAATGCAATGCTCTCACAAACAGGGGTGGGGCCCAGGACAGTGTCTTTGCTCCAGTCCTTCTTGGAGATAAGAGCCACTGGTACCTAAATCGTTGCGCAAGACTCAGTGGGTGTGCAAAAGCAGCAGGCTCCTTTCTGAAGCCAAGGAGCCATACACCCTACAGTAACTCCCTGTGGCCCAACCACTAACAGGCAAGGCTGAAAGCACTGGCCAGTGCCTTCACGGTCCTGTCCTCTGTCAAAGTGCAGTTCTCAGCCCTCTGGAACTGGATTGATTTTATTCCTCAGTGACACACATCCCAATAAGCTGTGGACATTTCTCTGCAGTGTAGCTACCCTGTACTCAGTTCTTGGGGACCTTGCCCCTCTCCCAACCCCTACCCCCCTCATTCCCTCCTACTGTCTTTGCTACTGTTTTCATCATAGAATGCTTCCAACCTTTTGTGAATTTTTTTTTATTATGAGAAAAATCTATTTGTATCTATCCTAACCAGTTTGGGGAATATATTAAGATATTTTTGTACATAAGAAAGAGAGAAAAAAATTTATAGAAGTTTTGTACAAATGGTTTAAAATGTGTATATCTTGATACTTTAACATGTAATGCTATTACCTCTGCGTATTTTAGAACTGTAGTTCATCTTACAACTGCCATTTCCCCTATGTGGTTTTGTGAGGAACTCTCCTCATAGGTGAGATCTAAATGCCACCAGGATTACTTCAGCACCAATGTGTCTTACTTTATAGAAACATTGTTAATGTATTAATGTTGTTATTAAAAACTGTTCAAGAAGAACAAAGTTTATGCAGCTACTGTCCAAACGCAAAGTGGCAGCCGGTTGGTTACCATAGGCTGTCTTTTGGGAGTTTCTACCACTGCCTTTTTTTTTTCTTACTGTTTTATTACAAACTTACAAAAACATGTATAACCCTGTTTTATACAAACTAGTTTTGTAATAAAACTTTTTTCTTTTTTTAAAAAAAATGAAAATAATCAGCTGCCTCCAACCTTCTTTGACTCTGATATCCTTGGCCAAGTTATTGAAGCCCAAAAGGGAAGGTGGGATGGTGGGTGGGGGGCAGAGGTCCTCAATGGCAGAAGATAATGCTACAGCCAGTCTTATCCAGTGGTAACTTTGTGATGGGGCAGTGGGGGGGGGGATAGTCTCTTTCATTTGCTGTGCATGGCCACAACTCCCAGGAAAATGGATGGCAACACATGGCTGCTTCGCCCTGCCACACATGGTGCATTTAAAATATCCAAAATAGTGAACTGGATAGAGAGGTGCCTCCTTTCTGCCTTCCACTTTGAGTTTCTCATTGTGGGGAGATGGAAGGCTGGATACATTTAACAGAGAATAAGCCTGGGTGGATGGAAGATGGTGTTAAAATTTGGGATTTGGAATAGGTCTTCCTCTCCAATCACAAACTCCTAGTGTATGGGGGGAGGTCCTCTTTTTTCACTTCCAAGCACACATTTGCACGCCTTTTCCCCAAGCACACACTTTTCATACTGATTTTAAGTAAAAGACACATATGATATGAATTCCTTGCAGACGGAGTTAGATTTGAATACTTAAATGTGGTACAAATGTATGGTCACTTTGAGACACTAGCCTATCTAAGCCTGTGACTCTATCCAAATAGCGTGAGCAGCGTGTAAAAGTACCCAATTACCAAGATTCAAAAAGAAATTGGTGGTTTTTTGGCTGGCTTGCTTCTTGTCAGTTAGCAGGGACGTGATTAGAATCCTACTCGACCTCTAGCAGGCTCCTTACTCGCCTCCTGCATCACTTGCAGATTCAGTTTGCGTGTGTCTCCAGCCAAGCGGAAAGCCAGGCGCAAAATGCATCTTACAAAACACAACAAAGAGTGGGGAGCCAGCACGTCTTCCAGAGTTAAAAATCTAGTCTGTGTTGGTACATCTATACCATTTAGGGGCACAGAATAATCATTTTTTAAAGCCGCTGTGCACAGAGCTCACCACAGCGTCTGATGTCATTTTGCTAAATGACCCTCTACAGAACGCGCACGGAGGCTTCAGTCTCTTTCAAAGAGATGGGCGTAATTAAGGGGAAAAAAATCAGTAAATTCCTCATCGCCATAAATAATCGGACTTTCTGCCAGCAGTGGGCCAATTTAGAGCTTACTTGAGGGAAGTAGCGCTTTTGTGATGCTGGCTTTGATTTTTATCTTATTTGGAAGATGGGAGCTAGGCTGTCCCCTCCACACCACCATTCCTTTTTTTATTTGATTTAACTGCTTTGCAAGTTTCCAGATAAGGTTTGCAAAGAAAGTGTAGCGAGTCATTTACGGCTATGAATATAACATTAGGATGAGGTTTCAACCCTTACAAAAGGGATTTTTTTTTTTTTTTTTTTGTCTTCTTCTGCCTCTGAGGACAGGTGTTCTTTTACCCATTTCTGAATAGGAAATATCCAGTCCCGGTAAAGTCTGGGCAAAGTTAGTCGATTGTTTGCCGCAATTCGAAGGCAAACTCCAAATATTCACAACACACACACACACACACACACACACACACACACACACACAATTTTTGCCGAAGCTAGGAAAGGGCCAAACAGGGATTGGACAAAATCTCATTACATCTGCTCTAATCGCTTAGCAACACAAAGCCTGGGCTTGTGCGGCGAAGGGAAGCCATTCACTGAGCTCTGACAGGCCGCATTCAGCCAGCATTAGTCAGCTCCATAAATCACCGCTGCCCATTGGCTGTGCTGCGGGCTTTGGGCTGTCAGCGAAATACAAAATGTAGACCCCAGTGGCCAGCAATCAGCTAGCAATCGCAATACTCTCCGCCCCATTTTAGCCTCTGCCCCACTTTTTTTTTGGGGGGGGGGCATTCTGGCGAAGAAAACTTCGTTGATGGTTTTGACTGAGAAATCTTACTTATTTAGTAAATAGCCTGGAGATCACTAGGGAAGGAGAGTGAGAGAGAACGACAGGGTGAGAGAGGAAGGGGGAGAGAGAGAGAGAGAGAGAGAGAGAGAGAGAGAGAGACCCAAGCCACTGGTTACATAGCTGTTGGAGGCATATACATTTCATCAGAGGTTGGACTAGAGGTATTGGGCCACCTGCCTCACCTCCTTAATTCAGTCCTTTTTTTTTAAATTTGGAAATTAGTGGTAGGAGGCTACAGCATGGAGAAGATCCAGGTGGACCCACCAAGCCAAAACAAAAATAATTGGAGGGGGGGGCGCATTCTGCTGTTTTCTGCCTAGAACTTCAAAGGACAGCAGGACTGAGATACAGCAAAGGAGGGGCAGAGCATACATTTCCAAACTCTGTCGTTCTTGTGGGGAAGCTAGCGAACATAGAATGAACAAACAGCCCAATTCCCTGGTACCCACAGCAAGTATATTAAACAGTACAAAGGGATATGGTAAATGTCCTTATGGTGCAAATCACAAGCCCTGTGAGCTGTTGGAGGCTGTTGTGATTCTTCCAGTCCTACTCTAGTTTCCATGAGGACTAGTCAGATGTGTCTAATCACTGTCCAGACTTGATTCTTATGCTACACAGAGAATAATATCTGAGAGCAGAAACAGAATCAAGGTAAACTTTCTTAGAAACCTCAGAGAATCCCCTGATGATCCTGTCAAAATATGGTCTTCATCTGTTGGTCACTTTCTGTCATCTACCCTGCTTTTCCTTCCTGGTTTTTACCACTAATGTGAAAGTTCTGTACCCTTGTCTGTTAATGTGCTTGTTGTGAACTGTCCGCTATGTGGTGGTGAACTCCATGGGAACAGAAACCTTAACTGTCTTGTTCACCCTTATGTCCACAGTGCCTAGAAACACAGGTATTTGGAGAAAAGGCTCTGGATGGCCTGCTGTATTCCACTGGTAGCTGTTGTCACTTTCTGTTGCCTTTAACCTCTCTATCATTCTCTGCCCCTGTGTTTCAACAAGTTGATCACAGAATTCATCACCAAAGCTCTGGTGCCCTCTGGATTTCTTCTGGATTTGGCAAGTGAGAGGCACCAGCAGAAGGTCACAAAGTAGAAAGGGAGATAGACTTTGGTATCCCTACTCTTAGTTATCTGCTTTGCAATGGCTGCTCCTCAGCTAAGGCCACGACTTGTCAATGCATTTCTCTCTCATAGGTACAGCTTTTGCTGATGTTCAGGAAGAGCTTCTCTCTCTCCCCTCAGGCTCAGAGATAACAGATAACATCTCCCTCTTGTTACTAGTCTATGGTCTCAGGGGCTGCCTCAGTGGGTTCACTTGCCCTAACTCATATGTAATTCTGTTCATTGACTCTTCTCATTTGCCCTTTTAGAAGGGTTATTAGCTCCTGCAGACCCTGATTGCGTCTTAAACCATTATCCATTCAGATGCATGAGATTTTCAGGGTTTTCAAGTAAGAAACTTCCTAAGGTGGGAGTGAATTCTCTTCAACATCTCTGGAAAGTTACTTCATCTTTTTGGACCAGAAATGATTTACCTGAAAGTTTGGGAAAGACTTTAGTTATACTTTGCATGACAGTGAGGGAAAACAATAGCTTTAATAGCTACCTTTGTACAGATCATCAGATGAACCATCTTAGAGCTGCCAGTGACTGTGTATCAGGTCTCCTTTCCCATTGAGGTGGTGCTGGGACTTGCCACTAAGATAAGCCAAGGCTACTGCAGGATGGAGCTACACCATCTCATTCACCATCCTTTCATTAGCCATGTGCAGGCTCTCACTTACAAAGGGATTGGCAAATGATTACATTCAGTCAGTGTTTCTAGATCTTCTTTGTCTCAACTTGAATCTTCTATAAAGAGCTCTCTAGGAAGCTTGTCTCATTGCAAGTTTTTGTTTGTTTGTTTGTTTGCTTGTTTGTTTTTGTCTTTTTGAGACAGGGTCTCCCTGTAGTTCCAGCTGGCCTGGAACTCACTATGTAGCCAAG